TCGCCTGCGCTTAGAGAGTAATATAGGCACATAACGGGCCTATACTTCTTTATTATTGTATATTGTTACGGTTTTTCTTATTTATTGTTATATTTATTGTTATTATTAATTATTATTGTTTATTAGTGTTGTCATTTATTATATAATAATATTAATAACAGAGTGTGGCCTTACAACAGCAACAGAATTATCAGAGAGCTCTACAGCAGGCCGCGCAACAGCAGCAAGTATTGTTATTTATTCTTGTTGTTATTTATTGTTTTTATTGTTTATTATTAATTAATGTTATTATTGAATATTTATTGTCAATTAATATTTATTTATCAATATCATTAGCTGTGAAATGATATTGTTTAGTATTTATTATTATTGTTATTGTTATTATAGATCATTGTTAGTAGATATTATGTAGTGATAGATATAGTAACAGTAATAATGAATATCTAAATATATATTTTATATATGTAATAATAAATATTTAAATATATATATAATAATATATAATAATAAATAATAATATATAATAAATAATAAAAAATATTAAGCAACAACGGCAATTAGAGCAACAAAGATTACTGGAACAGCAGCAGAGACAGCTGGATAGAATGCACCAGGAAAGGGAGGCGCATCGGTTGCAGCAGCAGGAGGAGGTTTATTTTTTATTATTATTGTTATTATTTATTATTATATTTATTATTATTGTTATTATTATTTATTATTATTGTTATATTTATTATTATGTATATTATTATTATATATAATAAAAAATATTCAGATGCTGAGACAAAAGGCGCAGGAAGAGATGCAACGCAGAATACAATACCAGAAGGAGCAGCAGCTGAAGCTACAGAGAGAGGCACAGGAGAGAATGTTATTGGAACAACAGAGACTGAAAGAGGAGCAGAGAAAACAGGTGATTTTTATTATTTATTGTTATTATTTATTATTATTTACTGTTGTTATTATTTATTATTATTTATTGTTATTATTTGTTATTATTTATTGTTGTTATTGATTATTTTTTGAGGAGGAGGCAGAGAGGCAGGCCGAAGAGGCGCGTAAACGTGAAGAGGAACGACGAGAACTGGAGAAAGTGTTGGCGATTCGAGAGGAGCAGAGAAGGAAACAAAAAGAGGCGCTGGAGACGCACACGGCAATGAAGGAGAAAGCAGACAGCATACCGATTAATATACACTTGGCAGGGTGCCATACGCTGACGAAACGTATGATTTTTAGTGTTGTTTTTATTGTTTTTTAGTATATTTTTTATTATTTATTGTATTTTTTAATTATAATTTTTATTGCGCGTGCGGTCAGTGGGCGGAGCTTGCGGTTGGTGAGTGTTTGGCGTGAGCGTGTGATAGGTGGTGGGGAGCAAGCCCCGCCCACGCGGCAGAATTAATATAACAATTATAATAAATATAATAATATATAATAATATATAACAATAATAAATAATATATAATATATAATAATAAATAATAAATTTCAGTGGTAAATCACCTGCCGTTCCCCACCCCCTTCGTACCGCATTCAAACCAGCTGAAGGTCAACGTACACCCGGACTATAACTCCCAACTGGAGAATACCGATATGCAGATGGCCGTGTTCCTGGCTAATGCCTTGGCCGAGTGTGATGTGAATGACGTGTCAGTTGGTTATTATTATTATTTATTATTATTATTGTATTATTTTTGTTATTATTTATTGTTATTATTGTTATTATTTTTTGTTAAAAATTAAATTCAGGTCGCTGAAGCATAAAGAGGGTGAAACGAATGAGATAGATACGACGAGTGAGCCGGCATTGGTAAGGAATATACTGGCGCATAATCAGAGGGTGGGTGTTTATTTTTATTTATTGTTGTTGTTTATTGTTATTTATTATTATTGTTATTATTTATTATTGTTATATATTGTTGTTATTTTTATTGTTATTTATTATTATTTATTATTATTATTATTGGTGATTTTGAAGGCATTTGATGTAGAGCCGGTAATAGGGTCGGTAAATGAAGAGCCCTTAATACCGATGGAAATACTCTCATCGCATCTGAAAGAGGTGATTATTTGGTGTTATTTTTATTGTTTTTTATTGTTTATTATTATTATTTTTGTTATTTTTATTATTATTGTTATTGTTTTTATTATTTATTATTGTTGTTGTTATTATTATTTATTATTTATTGTGTTATTATTAAAGGAAGATGCAGCGGAGAGGCATCATGAGGGTGAGGCTTCAACGTCATCACAGGAAGGGAATTGCAGCCGAATGGAGACTGGTGCAAATATTGATAGTGTGAAGAACGAGGGCGGTGTTAATGACGAGAATATTAATAATAGTAATAGTAATATGGATAATAATAGTAATAGTAATAGTATATTGAATGATCAAGAGCAAACGGCGCAATTGAGAAAGCAAATCGTGTCGCTAGGCAAGCAACCGAAAGCGCAGCAGGGACGGAAGAAGAAGGATATGGTGAGGTTTTTTATTTACCGGTTTACCAGTTTTTTTACCGAAATTACCAGTAAATTGGTGTTATTTTGGTGTTTTTGTGGTTTATTTTGGTTTATTT